ATAAAGAAGCGCAGAGACCAAGTAATGACATCAATGAGCCTAAAATAGGATGTGCAATGAAAACAGGTTTTCCTGAACAATTTAATTTGCATGTTGGTGAGGGGGTTTGTAAGTTTGCCCATTTATAAAGGGAAGGGTCTATAATTTTTAGCATAGGTATATTTTAAATGATAGAGACAGAATATCAACCCAAAATCCAGAAAATAATCATGATACAAATGTTATAAATGGAGTTGCAGTTCAGTGAGTAAAATTAGTATTTGATCCCCAAGTAAAACATGAATTAGTACTTGGTGGAGAAACCCTTGTTGGCAAGCACAAAGGTAAGATGTTTCTTGTAGATGGTTACCAGGTTTGCACACATCTCAGAAAGGATTTTGGTCCACTCTTCTTTACAGATCTTCTCTAAATCCTTAAGGTTTCTTGGCTGTCACTTGGCAACTCGAAGTTTCAGCTCTCTCCATAAATTTTCTATAGGATTAAGGTCTAGAGATTGGCTAGGCCACTCCATGACCTTAATGTGCTTCTTCTTGAGCCACTCCTTTGTTGCCTTGGCAGTATGTTGTGGGTCATTTTCATGTAGGAAGACCCATCCTTGACCCATCTACAGTGTTCTGGCTGAGGGAAGAAGGTTCTCATCCAAGATTTTACAATGCATGGCCCTGTCCATTGGTCCCTCAATGCGGCAAAGTCGGCCTGTACCTTTAGCATAGAAACAGTTGCGAAGCATAATATTTCCACCTCCGTCCTTGACTGTAGGGATGGGGTTCTTAGGATCATAGTCAGCATTTTCCTTCTTCCAAATATGGCGAGTGGAGTGAATGCCAAAGAGCTCAATTTTGGTCTCATCTGACCACAGCACTTTCTCCCAATCCTTCTCTGAATCATTTAGATGTTCATTTGCAAACTTCAGATGGGACTGTACATGTGCTTTCATGAGGAGTGGGACCGTGCGGCGCTGCAGGACTTCAATCCATGGTGGCCTATTGTCTTACCAATGGTTTGTTTGGTAACTGTGGTTCCAACTGCCTTGAGATCATTCACAAGCTCTTCCCGTGAAGTTCTGGGCTGATCCCTGATTCCATTTGCGAATAATCACTCCAACAGTTGTCTCCTTCTCATCAAGCTTCTTGCTGATGGTCTTGTAGCCCATTCCAGCCTTGTGCAGGTCTACAATCTTGTCCCTGATGTCCTTTGATAGCTCTTTGGTCGTGCCCATGGTGGTGCCCAAGAAAGAGATTCTATGGACAGGTGTCTTCTATATACATAACGAGTTGTCGTTAGGAACACCTTTTAAATTGACAGGACTAATCTGTGTACCACATGAGCACATAGCAAGTCTGTAGGAGCCAGAATTAATGTTGGTTGGTAGGAGATCAAATACTTATTTTACTCACTGAACTGCAACTCCATTTGTAACATTTGTATCATGTGTTTTTTCGATTGATATTGGGAGAAAGTGCGGTGGCCAGATGAGGCCAAAATTGAGATCTTTGGAATTATTATGTGACTTGACGTGTTTGGAGAAAGGAAAATGCTGACTATGACCCTAAGAAAACCATCCCTACAGTCAAGCACGGAGGAGGAAACATGCTTTGGGGCTGTTTCTCTCCTAAAGGTACAGGCCGACTTTGCCGCATTGAGGGACCAATGGACGGGGCCATGCATTGTAAAATCTTGGATGAGAACCTTCCCTTCTTCCCTCAGCCAGAACACTGAAGATGGATCGTGGATGGGTCTTCCAGCATGACAATGACCCAAAACATACCACCAAGGCAACAAAGGAGTGGCTCAGAAAGAAACACATTAAGGTCATGGAGTGGCCTAGCCAGTCTTCAGACCTTAATCCTATAGAAAATTCATTAAGGAGGGAGCTGAAACTTCGAGTTGCCAAGCGACAGCCAAGAAACCTTAAGGCTTGAGAGAAGATCTGTAAAGCAGAGTGGACCAAAATCCCTCCTGAGATGTGTGCAAACCTGGGAACCAACTACAAGAACGTCTTACCTCTGTGCTTGCCAACAAGCGTTTCTCCACCAAGTACTAAGTCATGTCTTGCTTGGGGAATCAAATACATATTTTGCTCACTGAACTGCAACTTAATTTATGACATTTGTATCATGTGTTTTTTCTGGATTTTTGGTTGATACTCTGTCTCTATCATTTAAAATACACCTGTGATAAAAAAAAATATAGACCCTTCATTTCTGTGTAGGTGGTCAAACGTACAAAATCTGCAGGAGATCAAATCATTATTTTCCCCACTGTAGATATACAACGTCGTAGATATGTACGTTGTATTTTTTTCCCCAGAAGGAATTTTTATTAGTTATAGTGACATCTGACAATGCTTCTGCTTCCCATCTCCTGCGCTGCGATCGCCCTCCGGATCTATTAGCGGCTACTTCTCAGTAGGTTAATGTATCCCCGTCGTGTTATTTTTACCCCACAGATAACAAGTGCTGGTCCCGTGGAATCTGCGCTCATCCTGGGCGGTCGGAGCGCCTCCTCGCTGTTAGCGAAAGACAACATTAACCGCTGAGATGTGTTTAGATTAAAATTGATTCATTGCAGTGATGGGGGGAATGCATTCCCTCTCTTCGGAGAAAGCTTTTAAACATAATTGGAGGACTCGGCCGCTATAAACACTTACAGATGGCATTAGCCAAACTAAACAATGATTTCAGACTCTTAACGAAGATCTCCGGTAAGAAGGATGACATTCCCGCATGCTGCTAGAACAAAGCCCTGTGCTGTGTTCCTGAAAGGTTCGAATGGCGGAACGTTCACTATACATTTGGAGTCCAAGAGGGGAATTTACTAAGACTGGAGCAGCCAGAATCGGGAGCAGCTGCGCATGGCAGCCAATCAGCTTCTAGCTTTCTTTCAAAGCTTAACTGAACAAGCTGAAGCTAGAAGCTGATTGGCTACCATGCACAGCTGCACCAGATTGTATCTGCTCCAATTTTATTAAATCTCCTCCATGAATGTCATCGACTCCATCGCCAATGATATCCAGCAGCAACAACCCTTATAAATTTTAATCTGCGTATATTTAGACACGTGCAATTCATTTCGTTCCGAATCGAAATTCAGACAAATTTTTCCCTTTTTTGGAGATTATTATTATTATACAGGATTTATTATTATTATTATTATACAGGATTTATATATTAATTATTATTATACAGGATTTATATATATTATTATACAGGATTTATATATTATTATTATTATTATATATGGATTTATATTATTATTATTATACAGGATTTATATATTATTATACAGGATTTATATATTATTATTATTATATGGGATTTATATATTATTATTATACAGGATTTATATATTATTATTATTATTATTATACAGGATTTATATATTATTATACAGGATTTATATATTATTATTATACAGGATTTATATATTATTATTATTATATACAGGATTTATATATTATTATTATTATACAGGATTTATATATTATTATACAGGATTTATATATTATTATTATTATACAGGATTTATATATTATTATACAGGATTTATATATTATTATATTATACAGGATTTATATATTATTATTATACAAGATTTATATATTATTATTATTACAGGATTTATGCGCCAACAGTTTGCTCAGCGCTTTACAATATAACGGGAGACAATACAGCAACAATACAGTTCAATACAAGAGGGATAGGAGCAGGGGCAGACTGACCATTTGGAAACTCGGGCACTGCCCAAGGGCCCGGGGTCAGTAGGAGGCCCCATGAGATGCCCCTGGTACTTTTTTCATAGGCTTTTTTGAGTTTGGGCAAGGACACAGGGGCCCCATGATCCCCTATTGCCTGGGGGCCCCATGAGTGGTCAATCCACCCCTGGATAGGAGGGCCCTGCTCCTTGGAGATTCACGTATCCAAATTTCTGAATTACAATAGTAAATTTAAGTGAAAGTGAAATAATGAAATAAAATTTCGTTTGAAATTAACACCAAATTCGAAACTGAAATCGAATTCAAAAACAAGTATAGATTGAAATTGAATAAAAATAAAGGAATAGAATAGAAAATAATAGAGTAAAACAGAATAGAATAGAAAATAAAATAAAAGAATAGAACAAAATAGAACAGAAAATAATAGGATAGGGCAGAAAATAAAAGACTAGAATAGAAAAGAAATAAAATAGAATAAAACAGAATATAGCTGATTTTTCGAAATTTGAATTGTGAAAAGAATAGAACAGAATAAAATAGAAAATAAAATAAAATAATAGAATAAAATAGAATTAAAAAAGGAATAGAATAGAATACGGTAGAAAAAACAATAGAATAGAATAAAATAGAAAATAACTGTCTTCTGAAATTAAATTGTCAAATAGAATAAATTAGAATAGAATAGAAAAAAAAACAATAGAATAACCCTAATTCCTGCCAGTGTGCACAAATGCCACAACCGCGATTCTTGCTTCATGGCCACGGCAGTAATTATATCCCCTCTCGCTTTTGGCGAGCGTAGTGCCCACCGAACATGACCTATTCAAGTGCATGGGTCATCTCTGCAAGTGCCCTGCAAACGCATGCAATGCACGCAGTTGCCTAATACGGCAATTCAGGGGTTAAAGAAGGTGGCAAGGAGATGATACAACACATGTCTAATGCTCTCTGAAGAGCGAAATCCAATTAATGAAAAGGGGCGGGGCCAGGGACAGTAAGGTTGGGGAGAAAAGTGCTAGATGATGCTGGTTGTCCTCCAGCCAGAAAATGAAGTGGGCACTATCTGACTTGCTTGCAGCTTTTGATGTAAATGCATGTTTGTGAAGCGTTCTATATTAAATATATATATATATACTGTTGCTGTTTTCTTGTAACATGTGAGAAATGTATCCATGACATTTGGCAGCACAAAGATCGATGGTACCTGTTGTGAATATTCTGTGTGAATGTTAGTAGCTGAGTGCTGGTTTTATGCTGTAAGTATTTCTATCTGTTCCCTGTTACAGATCAGCGAGAGCCCAATATTTGTGCCCGGTGTCTGGGGACCGTACTACTCCGCCATGGTGCCGGGATACTGGCTGAACGAAGGTGGACAGAGTGCGACCGGGAGACTGGTGAGTTGGGTTGGAGGTCACAGATTGTACATGGGATACATGGGATATGTGTTTCAGCCCTCACTGACAACCTGCTGATTATACAGAGACTAAAGCCTGTGCTGGAGATCCTGGTGCAGACTGTAGTGTGGCCTTTCGAAGTATAAAATCATAGATACATAATCTGTGAGGTCATAGAAATCCTCCTGTTCATTACAGAGAGCCGATCCTCTGTCCAGAACAAAACACAGCGCCTCCTATCCAGTATATGAAACACCTGCACCTCCCAGTATATGAAACACACCTCCACCTCCCAGTATATGAAACACCTCCACCTTCCCAGTATATGGCACCTCCACCTCCCAGTATATGAAACACCTCCACCTCCCAGTATATGGCACACACCTCCACCTCCCAGTATATGAAACACCTGCACCTCCCCCAGTATATGGCACACCACCCACCTCCCAGTATATGAAACACCTCCACCTCCCCTCCCAGTATATGAAACACCTCCACCTCCCAGTATATGAAACACACTCCACCTCCCAGTATATGAAACACCTCCACCTCCCAGTATATGAAACACCTGCACCTCCCAGTATATGGCACACCTCCACCTCCCAGTATATGAAACACCTGCACCTCCCAGTATATGAAACACCTCCACCTCCCAGTATATGAAACACCTCCACCTCCCAGTATATGAAACACCTCCACCTCCCAGTATATGAAACACCTCCACCTCCCAGTATATGAAACACCCTCCACCTCCCAGTATATGAAACACCTCCACCTCCCAGTATATGAAACACCTGCACCTCCCAGTATATGGCACACCTCCACCTCCCAGTATATGAAACACCTGCACCTCCCAGTATATGAAACACCTCCACCTCCCAGTATATGAAACACCTGCACCTCCCAGTATATGAAACACCTCCACCTCCCAGTATATGGCACACCTCCACCTCCCAGTATATGAAACACCTCCACCTCCCAGTATATATGAAACACCTGCACCTCCCAGTATATGAAACACCTCCACACCTCCACCTCCCCTCCCAGTATATGAAACACCTCCACCTCCCAGTATATGAAACACCTCCACCTCCCAGTATATGAAACACCTCCACCTCCCAGTATATGAAACACCTGTATATGAAACACCTCCACCTCCCAGTATATGGCACACCTGCACCTCCCAGTATATGAAACACCTGCACCTCCCAGTATATGAAACACCTCCACCTCCCAGTATATGACCCCCACCTCCCAGTATATGAAACACCTCCACCTCCCAGTATATGAAACACCTCCACCTCCCAGTATATGAAACACCTCCACCTCCCAGTATATGAAAAATACCTCCACCTCCCAGTATATGAAACACCTCCACCCAGTATATGAAACACCTCCACCTCCCAGTATATGGCACACCTGCACCTCCCAGTATATGAAACACCTCCACCTCCCAGTATATGAAACACCTCCACCTCCCAGTATATGAAACACCTCCACCTCCCAGTATATGAAACACCTCCAGTATATGAAACACCTGCACCTCCCAGTATATGAAACACCTCCACCTCCCAGTATATGAAACACCTGCACCTCCCAGTATATGAAACACCTCCACCTCCCAGTATATGGCACACCTGCACCTCCCAGTATATGAAACACCTCCACCTGTCCAGTATATGAAACACCTCCACCTCCCAGTATATGAAACACCTCCACCTGTCCAGTATATGAAACACCTCCACCTCCCAGTATATGAAACACCTCCACCTCCCAGTATATGAAACACCTGCACCTGCAGTCCACCTGTCCAGTATATGAAACACCTCCACCTCCCAGTATATGAAACACCTCCACCTGTCCCAGTATATGAAACACCTCCACCTCCCAGTATATGAAACACCTCCACCTCCACCTGTCCCAGTATATGAAACACCTCCCCTCCCAGTATATGAAACACCTCCACCTCCCAGTATATGGCACACCTGCACCTCCCAGTATATGAAACACCTCCACCTGTCCAGTATATGGCACACCTCCACCTCCCAGTATATGAAACACCTCCACCTCCCAGTATATGGCACACCTCCACCTGTCCAGTATATGGCACACCTGCACCTCCCAGTATATGAAACACTCCACCTCCCAGTATATGGCACACCTGCACCTCCCAGTATATGAAACACCTCCACCTCCCAGTATATGGCACACCTCCACCTCCCAGTATATGGCACACCTGCACCTCCCAGTATATGAAACACCTGCACCTCCCAGTATATGAAACACCTCCACCTCCCAGTATATGAAACACCTCTACCTCCCAGTATATGAAACACCTCCACCTCCCAGTATATGGCACACCTCCACCTCCCAGTATATGAAACACCTCCACCTCCCAGTATATGAAACACCTCCACCTCCCAGTATATGGCACACCTGCACCTCCCAGTATATGAAACGCCTCCACCTCTCCAATATATGAAACGCCTCCACCAGTCCAGTATATGAAACACCTCCACCTGTCCAGTATATTGAACACCTCCACCTGTCCCAGTATATTGAACAACCTCCACCTCCCAGTATATGGCACAAACTCCACCTGTCCAGTATATGGCACGCCTGCACCTGTCCAGTATATGGCACACTTCCACCTCCCAGTATATGAAACACCTCCACCTGTCCAGTATATGAAACACCTCCACTTGTCCAGTATATGAAACGCCTCCACCTCTCCAATATATGAAACGCCTCCACCAGTCCAGTATATGAAACGTCTCCACCTCTCCAGTATATGAAACACCTCCACCTGTCCGGCTTATGAAAAGCCTCCACCAGTATGGCGTATGGCACGCCTCCACCAGTCCAACATATGGCACGCCTCCACCAGTCCAGCATATGGCATGCCTCCACCACTCCAGTATATTGCACGCTTCCACCTACCCAGTATATGGCCCCTTCCTGTTCCAACATGACTGCGCACCAGTGCACAAAGCAAAGTCCATAAAGACATGGAGGAGCCAGTTTGGGGTGGAGGAACTTGACAAGCCTGCACACAGTCCTGACCTCAACCCCATAGAACACCTTTGGGATGAATTAGAGCGGAGACTGCGAGCCAGGCCTCCTCCCCCGACATCAGTGCCTGACCTGACAAATGTGCTTCTGGAAGAATGGTCCAACCTTCCCATAGACACCCTCCTAAACCTGTGGACGGCCTTCCCAGAAGAGTTGAAGCTGTTATAGCTGCAAAGGGCGGGGCCAACTCAATATTGAACCCTACGGACTAAGACTGGGGGGCCATTAAAGTTCATGTGCGTGGAAAGGCACACATCCTAATACTTTTGGCAACATAGTATACATCACCATCAGCATACATTGGAGTGCTCACATTCATACAGTGTAGATGTAGTTTAAAAAAAACAAACGGAAAGCTAAAGTTTACCTTCAAGGCAAACCTCTTACAAAATAAATCTTAAAATCGTAAACCTAACTAGTATAGAGGCCTCCCTATAAAAGTGGAGGAAGGGTTACTTGTAGAGCACCTCGGATCCCGCTGTCCTGATGTCACCTAAATCCTGGCGAGGACAGGGACAGCATTTCATAATATTGGGTACAGATTTCATTTAGAAATGATATTGTTCGTCTTTATTGTCACATAATAGGAATCTATTCAGGCAGGTGAGTTAAGTTACTTCATTTTGCCAGCACAAATATTGACTGTACAAGTTCTGAATATTATATATCAAATTCAACAGCAAAGTCCCGGATTTCTAGTTATACTGTATTTCAATCCCTTCCCTGTAACAGAACAGTGAGAATTTGATATTTGTGCCGAGCGTCTGGGGTCCTTTCTACTTTGCTAAGATATACAAAACCCAAGTAGCTTTACTGGTGAAGAGCCTTTCCTGACAACTCCCCCTCATCTTTGAATGTCTGATTGCCGGCTTGAATAGATGACCATCATAGTGAATAACCAGGAGCTGATTTGTAAGTGTAGCCACCATAGGGATCAGAAAGAGTGGCCATTATAGTTATGGCCAGTAGCTAGTCAGTGAGGGTGGCCATCATAGGGATCAGTCCAGTATCAGGTTAGCAAGGGTGGCCATCATAGGGATCAGTCCAGTAGCTGGTTAGCAAGGGTGGCCATCATAGGGATCAGCCAGTAGCTGGTAGCAAGGGTGGCCATCATAGGGATCAGTCAGTAGCATGTTAGCAAGGGTGGCCATCATAGGGATCAGTCAGTATTTGGTTAGCAAGGATGGCCATCATAGGGATCAGTCAGTATCTGGTTAGCAAGGGTGGCCATCATAGGGATCAGTCAGTATCTGGTTAGCAAGGGTGGCCATCATAGGGATCAGTCAGTCAGTTATCAAGGGTGGTTAGGGATCAGTCAGTAGCATGTTAGCAAGGGTGGCCATCATAGGGATCAGTCAGTATCTGGTTAGCAAGGGTGGCCATCATAAGGATTGTCTAGTAACTGATAGGTGAAGCTGGCCATCATAGTGATTGGCCAGAAGTTGGTAGGTGATACTGGGTATCATAGTGATTGGCCAGGAGCTGGTTAGTGAGGGTGGTCATCATAGTGATCTGTCAGTAGTTGGTTAGCAAGAGTGACTGTTATAGTGACTAGTCAGTAGCTGGTTATTGAGTTTGACTATCATATTTATGGCCAGTAGATGGTTATTGAGGGTGGCCATCATATTTATGAAGAGTAGCTGGTTAGTGAGGTGGCATAATAGTGATCAGCCAGTAGCTGGTTAACAAGGCTGGCCATCAGAGTGATTGGCCAGTAGCTGATTAGAAAGGGTGGCCATTATAGTTATGGCCAGTAGCTAGTCAGTGAGGGTGGCCATCATAGGGATCAGCCAGTAGCATGTTAGCAAGGGTGGCCATCATAGGGATCAGTCAGTATCTGGTTAGCAAGGGTGGCCATCATAAGGATTGGCTAGTAACTGGTAGGTGAAGCTGGCCATCATAGTGATTGGCCAGGAGCTGGTAGGTGA